TCTCTCTCTCTCTCTCTCTTTCTCCCTCACTCTCTCTCTCTTTCTCTCTCTCTCTCTCTCTCTCTCTCTCTTTCTCCCTCGCTCTCACTCCCTATATTGTACTCTTCCTAGACCTCCCTTGTTTTACATTGCTCCTCCCCTCCTTGCATGCTTAAAATGACTAATTGAAATTAAAGTTGATACAGTTGTCATGTGCTTTTCCTTTCATATTTTATTTAAAAAATGTTGTTTTCATTGCTTCTGTTTTTCTAAGGTTGGAAAGAAGTTCTTTGCAATTGATGACATGCCCAAACCAGACTCAACAAACTGGTACGAGGACATACATCATGGTAAGTAATATGTGTCACCGGGTGGTGGAATCAGGCGCTCGTCAATTTTTGGGCATATGGAGTTACTGGTATCATCTTAAGCCTGTTCATTGGCCTTCCTCTTGGTGAAAAAGATTATCCATCTATGTTGAATAGAAGTCGGGTTATTTGCGATTGAAGCAAGACTGGGTCGCCTGGTTTTATAGTTAAAATTAGCGAGAAAGTGGCCACAAAAGTTTGGTAAACTTCCATAGATTAAGAGTCCATGGAAACTGAAAAGTCACTTTTTTTGTGCCTTTAATTAATGTTTTTTTTAAGAAAATCCACCCAAAAATGGATATAAAAGGTGTTGAGCCAAAAAAAAATAAAAAATTAACCCTTGGCCCCAAAAATGACGATTTCTTTGATTTCATTATTTTGACGAGCACCTGATTTCACCACGATGCCTCACATATTGTAAGCATTCTTCGTTTTTATCATGTTTTTCTGTAACATTCATGAGCTGTGCTTTTTCTAGTTTGAGAGTAAAGTGGTGATGATGATTTTTTTTTTCTCTTTCTATATGTGTCACAGCGTGGTGGAATCAGGCGCTCGTCAATTTTTGGGCATGTGAAGTTATTGATATCATCTGAAAGCTTGTTCACTTGTCTTTATTTGAGTAAAAAAAGTATCCTTTTATCTTGAATGCAAGTTGAGATATTTACGAAAGAAGGAGGTGGGGGTCACCTATTTTCAGAGGTAAAATTAGTGAAAAAATGGCCGTCAAAGGTTAGTTATTTCCATAACTTAAGAGTCCATAGTAACTGAAAATTTACTGTGTCTTTAATCAACCTTTTTCAGAAAAATCCAAACAGAAATGAGTTTTTTAATGGGCATGAAAGGTGTTGAGCCAAAAAACAGAAATTTAATAAAAATTCACAAACCTGCGGAAAAATACAAGTTTCTTTGTTTTGATTATTTTGATGAGAGCCTGATTCCACCACGCTGTCTCATATATTTAAAAAATGCAAAGGGGGAAGTGGGAAGTGATCATTTGTACAGGTGATGGTCATGGGTCATGGACAGGCTGTTGTTAGAACATGTTCGGCAGTAATCTGTATTTCACATTGATGTTGGGGATTTTCGTGTCTTTAGAATGAACAAACTGGCTTTGAAATTCAAACTGTGTCTGAACAAATGAAGTTCTTTTCAAGACTTGTGGATAAAATATTTGTCAAAAGCTTACAACGTTTCTTCCAAAATCTTTGAAATTACAAGAATATATGAGATGTAAATATGTAGACAACTGAACTTAAAATGATAAGGCTTTTAAGAACGAGCTGATGAATTTGTTTTGCTTTATCTCTTTTTCTCTAGAGCGGGTTTCCTACTGTGGATAGCCCTCTTTTGGAATGAAACCTAAAAGTGATATATACGTCACTAAAACGGTCTTTAAATCAAAATCAGTGAGCCTACTTTGATAGTTTCTTTATCAAATGAAAAAGCTTCTGGTAAAAGAGTCCTGTTTTAGGCAATTGCTGAAAACTAATATAACGTAAAGCTTGCAAGAGATAAGGCGTTAAGAATCTTTGGGCATTTTGTATCGGAATCAAAAATCATTACTGCACAATACTTTATGCTTTTATTTTATACTTTTGCTTTTACAGCTGGGAAAAGTGCAGCTCACCTGTCTTTGCTCCTTGATGATCCAACTTTTGACACAAAGGGCAACATTGTGGACAGAAACAGCGGATACTTATTCAAGATGTTGGTGTCGGCCGGAACAAATGTGAACGTCAGAGACATCGGGGGCAGAACTGTGTTGAACACTGTGATCAGCAAGAACAGGATCAATGTCATTCCATTCCTGGTAACTTTTTGAGTTAACTCTTTGCTGCCTTAGAATTACCAAGTTCTTACTGACATTTTTGGCCGTTTTGAGTAACTATTACCATGAGGTCAGAAACCAAATATGAGGCAGCATGGTGGAATCAGGCTCTTGTCAAAATAATCAAAGTGAAGAAACTGGCATTTTTCCGCAGGTTTGTGAATTTTTATCGAATTTTTGTTTTTTTGGCTCAACACCTTTCATGCCCATTAAAGAACTAATTTCTGTGTGGAATTGACTGAAAAACGTTGATTGATTGCACAAAAAATGTAAATTTCAGTTACCACGGACTCTTAAGCTAAGGAAATAACTAACCTTTGGCGGCCGATTTCTCATTAATTTTACCTCTGAAACCAGGTGACCCCCACCGCCTTCATTTGCAAATATCTCGACTTGTATTCAAGTGAAATGGATATTTTTTTTCAAGCAAATACAGACAAAAAACAAGCTTTAAGATGACACCAATTACTTTACACGCCCCAAAACTGACGAGAGCCTGATTCCACCGCGTTGTGACACAAATGTTTTACCTTCTCTGTCAATATCGTAAGATTATTCGGAGTCATTGTCAAAATATTGAAAAAATTGCATTAGAAAAAGCTTGACATGTTGTGAAAACTCAAATTTGTTTACCTCAAGTTTCTCAAAACAAGGTACAGAGCAGATAGCACTTTGCTATTCTGAGATAGCAAATTGTGAACTGTGATAGTGGGTGGTTGATGGGTGCTCAAGTGTGCTTTGCACCTTCTTTTCCCATCAAACATCTATCGTCCTCAACTCTTCTCCTTTTCTTTGTATATTACTCTCTAGTAGTAACATCTTTAATCCTCGGCACTTTGATGACCAAATAGAAATGCAATGTGGTGTAAATTACTGACTAAATCTGAACTTGAACTGTAATTGAACTCAGTCTGGAGCAGGCATTACTGTTTACTGCTTACTGCTGACTGATCCCATAATCCACGAGGATCGTAGGGGTGCTGTATGATAGAAAACCTTGTCAGATGCCTCCCCTTTTCACGGCTCTTTGCCAGTGCCTGAGTTTAGGCGAAGGATTTCCCTGTCCACTCCGCAACGTTGTGGGTCCTCCTCTTTCTTTGCCTTCCTCTCCTTCTCCTCCTGCACTGTTCCCTGAAGAATGGTCTTGGATAGGCCACACGATCTTGTTACCTGACCATCATCATCATTCAGTGCCAGATCTGCGACAGACATCGGCGATCATGGTTTTCCATTCATTCCTTTGCTCGGATGCTCTAAAAAAAGCTACGTTTCCCTGATCTTTCCCTATTACCCATTTGTTTAGGTTCCCTAAGTATGTTGTTCTGGGCCTACCCCTGCCTGACCATACCAATTCATTTTTCTTCGCATATTGTTAGGCCCCTAACCAAATTTGTAGTGTTAAAATAGTTATGCTTTTTGCCTTGTGCACACAAGAAATTTTACTGAGCTTATCCCACCTAGAACCCACCTGCTCATTTTTTTTTCCTTTTGATGGAGGTGGCATAGTAGTTATCAGCTTGGAAATGTTTTAGTTTTAGTCGAAGTTTTACGGCGCTCGTAACTGCATAATGTCATATGAGCGCCAGAAGATTAAAAGTGTTACACGAGAGTAACAAACATAAAAAAGAAGAAGGGGAGATAAGGACGATAGATGTTTAATAGGAAAGAAGAAGCAGACCACACCAGAGCACCTGCCAACCACCCACATTCGAAATGTTTGGATTTTGGATCAAGGTGGATCTGATTTGTTTTAGAAAATTTCGAGGGAGATCAGTTGCTGTTGTCGGTATTAATATTGCCCAAAAACATGCCACAGGATGGTTGTTTTTTTAAAATGAAAAGTGTTTTTTACACCCTCATCAACAAAATTTAGATCATTGAGGAGGCAGGCCTCCAGCCCTGTCTGTCAGGGCCAACCCGGGCTGAGAGGGATACAACATCCCAGCAGAACGACGGAGATACTCAATAAAAATTTCTTCCTACTCTGGAATCATATTCAGGTCTCCTTTGTGTTGTTTGTTTTAGTAGAGGTTTTATGGCGCTCTCAACTGCATAAGGTCAAATGAGCGCTAATCTCCCATGTGTGACAGCAAAGTGCCTAACTGCTACTCCACATATGCCAGTGTATTCAAGACTGTCGTTTAAATCATTGTGCAGGTCAAAGAAGCCAAGTGCGATGTCAATCTGCCCGACCTGGAGAAGACTGCCAGCGGAAGGTCAAAAGTTCATCCCATCATTCAAGCTAGCAGGTGACTTTCCCCTTAGGCAGTGGTTCCTAACTTATGACTTGTTGTGTCGGGTCCATAATGTGATTTTCGCAAAAGATATGATGTAATATATTTTTGGTATTATTGAATAAAATAGGATAATGATAATATTAATAATAGATAGTCCCTCAGTGTCTGACGATGACCAATGCATCCACTGAGGAGAATATTTCTTAATAAGGGAGGTGTTATTTATTATTTTATTAGGATTAATTAAAAAGTCATTCTTCAAGAAAAACAGTTCTGACGTGTCCAAATGTACCCTTCTTTTCATCCAGTATAATGTGTTTTGCTTCATTTTCTTTCTGTTAATTTAATTACTTAATTAAATATGAACAAAGTCTTACATGTAAGTATTTGTTTCTTACAATTCACACTTCAAGAAAAGGGTTTAGAAAGGGGTCATGCTTTACTTACATTGGCATCATATTATGGAGGTGTGTATCGGTATTTCTCTTTAATTGAGGCGTTTTAATGAGTTGTTGAAGACCGTTTATTGAACCTGTACCTGCAAAAAGAGCTGTATTTTCTCGTGTCTGTTCTGCAGTACCCATGTTGACACTCATAGAATGATCTGAATAGTGTCGGTGCGAATGTAGAACCTCAACAGGTACATTTTGAAAAAAAGTTTCGAACAGAATTATGCATAATATCAAAATATAGATTGATAATTATTTTCTACATGACATAAACACACAATAAGTAATTCAATGGTTCTCGGTTATCCATTATCCATTTCGCAAATCAACGTGGGGGGGTAGGGGGGTGCATGTGTGTATGTGTGTGTCCTGTGTAACTTTCACCCCTTGCTGCATGGAGGTGTCAAATCATTTATAGATAACTTAGTTCTCGGTCGGCGTGTTGTGATCAAAGTCACAGGCAGTGTAGACTGTCTTGGAAGATCATTGATAAACTTTGCACTCATGTCTTCTTTATTCTTTTCCCCCTTACAGTAATATTGCTTTTCCGGCTTTGCTAGCCTTGGCTGAGTTTGACAAATTTGATATCTCAGCGAGTCAGAAGGAAACTGGAAGTTCATCCCTTCACATTCTGGTGAAAGATCACTATCGATACTTGTTTCGTAAGTTTTCCATTCTTTTTGATAATTTCTTCTATAAAGTGCGACACATGATTCTTTTGTTTTTTTTGTCAATTTAAAAAAAAGTTTAAATGTAAACTGAATGTCAGTTGTAATTCTGAAAATGTATCTGCTTATTTTATTCCCTTTGTTGTTGTTGCTATTATTGATGCTGAAAAGTATATTTTTCTATTTTGTAATCACTTATAAAAGATTCTTTTACATGAGCTAAGTGTTTGTTTATAGATCAGTACTCCCAGGTCTTCTATTTTGAAATATATATGTGTAATATTTATGTCATATCGAGCAGTGCATCAATATTTCATCTATGTTGAGACAGCCTACTACGAAATCGACCTAGAAGCCAAATGAAACAAGTTGATTTTGATTTTATTTCTACTGCAACAAGCAACCGCTTGTTTTTCACGAATTGTCTGCATATGCTTACGGAGATGCTGTTTTCATTTTTTCACTCTATTGTGTCATTTTTATTTCCCAAAAGAAATTTTGCAAGTTTTAGAAAAGTTTGCAAAGCGAGGATACAACTTCAACGCAGTGGATAACAGAAAAAGAACGATCATGCACTATGCTATAAGGTAGCAACTTTTACTTCTTAACACTTTTTCTGCTTGTATCATTTTGTTCTTTGCAAATTTGGAAAAAAATCCCTTTCTCCGTTATACAGTTCTTTTACAAGAGTGTATGTAGTTGAAAGAATTATTGTACGTTGATTTAAATCTTATGTTATTGTGAAGTACCTATAGAGCCACCAGGGAGTAAGTGCTATAGAGATGATTTTTATTATTATTTTTGTTATTATTATTATTGTTATTATTATTATTATTATTATTATTATTATTATTATTATTATTATTGTTATCATCATTTTCATCATTATTATATAGTTTTTAAAATGCTCAGAGTTTTAAGTGAGCTAAGACAGTTATCATTTCTCTAGTAAACTTACTGTGTGTGTTGTGTTTCCGTTATTTGTGCAGTTGGTTTTGACGCTGGTGATATAGTTTTGTTTGCGGGTGGTTGGCAGGTGCTCTGGTGTGGTTTGCTCCTTCTTTCCTATCAAACATCTATCGTCCTCATCTCTCTCTCCTTTTTTATGTTTGTTACTCTCTTGTAACACTTTAAATCTTCGGCACTTACTGTATGACCTTATTGTGTTGCAAGTGCCGTAAAACACTTACTAAAACTAAACTGGTTTCGGTTCCCCTCAGGCGGCAGTAACGTCAGATCTGAATGGTGTGGCCATGTTTGTGACGGAGGCAGACAGTGACCGATCAGGACTTACCCAGCTGGATGCGATCAATGTAAGCTCAGACAGCAAAGATAAGACATGTTGAAAGAGCAATGTAAGTTCAGACAATAAAGATAAGACAAGATGAAGTGTGAAATGTAAGATCA